CAAACTGCAGGCTCGGCCTCGCCATTTGTTGGACGACCTCGTCGGGGATTTCCGAGTCCCCTGTACCCGGGTCTCACGCCCCCCTGACTGTTGGAGGACCTCTTCCAAACTGGTCCGGGGCCGACGCTTCTTCCATCTGCGTCTTTAGCTTCCGAGTATTTTCTTTTTTGCTGTCCTCAGGTCCTCGCCCCAACTCCGCCTGCTGGGGAGGACCTGCCCGACCCGGCGCCCGCGGCCCCCCCCAGGCGTGCCCCGTGGGCTCCTGCCGCTGGTGCCAGCAGCCCTGCATGGCCCGCCCGCCGCCCCGCCCCGCCCCGCCCCGCCGGCCGGGCCCCCGCGGCCTGCCCAAGGGTCCTCGCCGCCGGCGCGCGGCGGGCCGCCGGCCGAGCGAGGCAGGTCTGGCGGCTTTGGACGCCCGGCATTGGTACGGAAAGGCTGGGTACGATGCCCAACAGCAGTTCCTGTTCCTTTTGAACAGGAGTCGCTGTCCACGCCGCCGCGTCCCGTGTCCATTCGAGACAGAAGGCCGCCTGCCCAGCAGCGGCCGCTGTTGGCTTGGGACAGCATTGGCTGTTGGGCATGGTACCCATTCTTTCCGTACTCATTTCGGGCGGACAAAGCGGCGCGCAGCGGGGGGTATATTTACCAGCCTCGAACGTCTCCCTATCCCTAAGATTGGCACGCCAAAAGGCGACGACAATCCTAGGGATCCGCCCTCAACAAATAAGGGGATCCCTAAGATTGGCATCGTGATGAGGAGGTGCCCAGCATAGGGATAGGGATATGTTCCAGGCTGGTAGTATACTCCAAGTCCCTCATTCATCGACCCCTCCCCCGTGGGAGACCAGACCCCCCTCCAAGTGCGACCTCATATTCCGGGCCCCCGTCTTCGACGGGGCGCCTCGATACACCAGACCCCCTAAGCTCCAATCCAAAGAGAGCGCCCTGATAAACCGCCCCCCCCCCAGTTGCAAAAAAAACGCCTCACAAAACCGGACCCGCGGGACGATTCATGAGGGATTTGGAATACAGTATGGGGGGGCCATGCCAAGAAACACCCTGCTTGCCTCCAGGGTGCCCTGGGCTTCTTGGGTTTCGATGGTTCTGCGACGGGCAGCGCGACTTTCCCGCACCAGAAGTGGAGGGACTCCCCGGGGTCTCAGGGTTGGGTTTCCCGTGGAAAGCTTCTTGTGGACTGGCCTCCACCACAGGGGAGGGGGGAAGGCTTCTTAGAAGTACTCCTGCTTCTTCGAAGGCGCGTGCCCTGTCTGTAGATGTGAGGCCAACGCCTTCCGAGAAGCAGCCTCCTTCTAAGAAGCCTTCCCCCTAGCCCCCCCTGCACAGGTACAGTCGACCCGCACAGTAAGGATGGGCAACCTCCCCAAGGGGGCAACCTCGCAGCATTGCCTCCTCGGTCCATCCTGGGCCACTTTTGTTCGCCGCGCCGCGCTCGAAAAGCTTCGAAAAAGGCTTCCAAGACCCTTGCATCCCGATCGCGCATCCTTATGATACGGGCCGGCTGTACGAAGATCGGGGACCACCATTATGCATACAGTCAAGACGCTGAGATAAGGAGCCAGTTTGGGCACGAAAGGGGCTCGATGTTCCTCAGGCCACTCTGTGGTTGTTGGTTGTTCCTCTAGCCCTCGCGCACGCTGGCGCTTCTGGGGCCAAACAAAGAGGGGCTTTGTGCCTTATTGACGGCTCCCTATCTCAGCGGTCCGACTGTAACCATCGATCTTCGGTGCTCCGCGCGGATTTCTTGGATCGGCGCTCGGGCCCCCCTTGGCGGCGCCTCGAGTGCCGCCCCTGGCGCGCTCCGCGCCGGGGAGGGGGTCCGGCGCCGATCAAAGCGTTTCTCGCGCAGAGCTCCGAGGGTTATTTTTGTTTGTGTGGGGCAGCTTTCTGCTCCTCTGCATCAGCAGCTCCTGTCCGTCCGCTTGGGAACAGGGCTCGCTGTCGGTGTCGCCGCGGACGCTCTCCATTGAATGCGGGAAGAAGCCTGCCTGCCCAACAGCGGCCGCTGCCGGTTTTGGACAGTGTTTGCAATTGGGCATCGTGCCAATTTCTCCGTATCGACCTCGGGCGGGTTGAGCCCTGGCGATCTTCATGACGACAGCGACGGCCAGCTCCTCGATTTTCTCGTCCAGGGCGTCACAACACGGTCGCCACGACGCCAGATTTCTGGACGTTCTCTTCGGTGTCAAATCATGGGAGCCTAGTATACCCTCTTGATCCCGTGGTTAGCGTCGATTAGCGCCGACTAGCGTTTGGAGTCGATGAGATCGCGCAGCTTTGGCGTCGGCTAGCGTCGGATAGCGTCGATTTATCGTCGATTAGCGTCGACCTAGCGTCGATTAGCATCGATTCGCAAGAGCCGACAAGATTGTATGGGAGGCTCCCATGAGTTGCCACCGAACGTTCTCGGCCCCTGGGGGGGCCGTCTTCCGGCATCGGGGCCGTCGAGAAGCGGCTATCGATGGAAAGCTGGTCCCGAAGAAGTGGCTGAGGCCCCTGGGTGCCCGCGCCACGACAAATATTCCGAAGTCTCGAAGAGAAATTGTATAAAACATGAACCTTTGGCGCGCGGGGGCTGGCCCCCCCCGGCGGCGCCTCCGGCGCCGCCCCTGCCGCGCTCCGCGCGCCAGGGAGGGGGTCCAGCGCAGATCCAAGAACTCCGCGCAGAGCGCCCCAAGTTTATGTTTTGTGCCGTTCTTCTTCTTCTTCTTCTTCTTCCTCGTCTCCTCCTCCTCCTCCTTCTTTTTCCAAGGTCGGAGGAGAGGGTGGGGAGCGCCTTCTCCAGCCCAGCCCCAGGACCGCCCGAGAAGGCCTCGGGAAGGGAAGCCCGCCCCGGCAGGAAGGGGCTGAGAGGTCCCCGGCGATCCGTGCCACGAAGAAGGTTGCTCAGGAGCGAAAGAAGGACGTACACGTACATGAATCCACGCTGGTTTCGAGAGTACGCATTGCGCAAATGTTCGTATGACGCGGCTGGTCTCGCAGATATAGGGGCCGTGTTCATGTACATAGCCGGGCGCGTACGTCCTTTGAGGGCTCCTTAGCTGCAGCGCCAGAGGAAACGGAGAGCCAGATGTCTGTCACCGCCCGCCGCCAGTTGGCCAGCGCTGACTATAGGGGAACAAAACGTGACATACATATAACAATTCGGAGGTCCGCGCGGATTTCTCGGATCGGCGCTGCACCCCCCTCCCTGGTGCGCGGAGCGCGCCAGGGGCGGCGCCGGAGGCGCCACCAGGGGGGGCCCAGCGCCGATCCGAGAAATCCGCGCGGACCTTCGAGTTTTTATGTTTATGCCACTTTTTGTTTCCCTACTGACGGCCCTGGCAGGTTCTTCTTTTTCGAGTCATGTGCTCAAGGCTTCTTGTTTGGTTTTAGGGAAGCCTAATATTTGAGTAAGCTGGAGCTCGGGTTTGCCGACGTTTTTTGACGAGCGCGTCCTGGATCTTGACGGTCCGGTTTTCGTGGGGTGTTTGCAGCGGGAGGTCGCGCCTAATTTCAGACTGGGCCTCGTCATTCTCATGATGGCCCCGTCAGGGCAACCCGAGACCTGTACTCGAGTCTTGCGTCTCCCCGGTAGTTGTTTTCTCTTCGAGTGTCTGGGCTTAGATCGAGTATAGCCAGAACCCCAGGTAAGGGGACCCGGTTGGGAGCAGGGCCCCAGAGACCTTAAATAGGCCAGAATCACTAAACCAGGTCTGCCGTAGCTGGTGACGGCAGCTCCGGTTAGCGTAATGGGGCCAGGGGCGGGGTGGGGGGGGGGGGCGTCCCTGGTACACATCACTACACCAGGTCCCACAACCCAGTTCTGCCAACGCCCGATTTGAGCTTCTCATTCGGAGTTCTTGGAACGCCCCTGGCGATGACGGCCGGCTGCCACGGCCGATGCGGCGGAGGTGGCCGCGGGCAGGGCTCGCGGCTCGCGGGGCGTGCGACGGAAGAAGATCAGGTGAGGGGCCCATTTTCCACCACCACTACCATAGGCAGGAGAGGGAGGGGGAGGAGGAGGAGGAGGAGGAGGAGGAGGAGGAGGAGGAGGAGGAGGAGGAGGAGCCGGAGGAGGAGGAAGACGACGACGACAGGGCGCCACGGCGGTTCCAGGAGGAGGAAGAGGAGGAGGAGGACGAGGAGGAGGAGGAGGAGGACGAAGAGGAGGAGGGCCAGTGTAAACCCAAGAGTCATTAACGATGTTGGAGTAGACCCTCCCTCCAAGCTCCCTCTTCATAGGCCCCTTCAGGGTTCATTTCCACTGAGAGAGCTGCCTTGTTGGAAGACAACCGTTTGAAGATCCTGAAGCATGCCAAAACATTGTTCTCGGGATTCCAACGCCACGGATCAGCCTGACTGTTGCGTCTTTACGATCCTGAATCGTGCCAGAACGCCTTTCTCGGGATGTCAACAACGCGAATCAAAGTAAGTGTTGCCCCCCACGAATCCTGAATCCTTCCAACACGCCATTTCTGGTGCGCTGATAAATGGAATCCGTGAAACTCTTACGAGTTTGAAGAACGAATGAGCGCGGCGCTGAGGTGAGAACCACATCTTGAGCATGAACCGCCCTCAATCCGTTAAGCGTCTTCTGCGTTGAAAAAAACGCATGCGCGCGGCGCTAAGGCGAGCACCACATTTTGAACAGCCGCCAATCCGTAAAACTGGTTTGCGCATTCAAAATGAATGTGCGCGGCGCTGAGGCGAGAGCCACATGTTGAAAACGATTCGCCCTCAATCCGTGAAACTCTTGTCAATGTTGAAAACTAATGTGCGCGGCGCTAAGGCGAGAGCCACATTTAGGAAACGACCCGCCCTCCATCTGTGAAACTGCTATCAATGTTTGAGCTTCAGTGTCATAACTGGTGAGAATGTCTCAGGCGAAACGCCCGGCCCGCCCTAAAAACTTGCTTCGGGGTGCGACAGGGAAAAGTTACTTATAAGGAAAAGGAATGGAGGAGGAGGACGAGGAGGACGATGAGGGGGAGGAACGCAACAGCCTCGTCGCTCATGTTTGCTCCACGGGAAAACGACGGAGGAGGAGGAAGAGGAGGAGGAGGAAGAGGAGGAGGAGGAAGAGGTGGAGGAGGAGGAGGAGGAGGAGGAGGAGGAGGAGCCGCAGGATGAGCAGCAGGAGGAGGAGGAGGAGGAGGAGGAGGAGGAGGAGGGGGACCCAGCCAGGCTAAGATGCGCCGCTTCGAGAGCCTGGCCAGCAGCTGCTGCGGCAGCGACGAGGGCGCCGACCTCAAAAGGCAGCCTCGCGCCGCGGCCCACCTCCGGGCTTCAGCGCCTCTTTGCTCGTGCTATTCGTATGTTTGTTTTCGACCGTGATTGTGCACCCGCAGACACAGTAAACCTTCAAGGAACGCCCCGGCCACTTCTGAAGGACACGGGTCTCGTGAGCGTTCTGAGTGCCGATCCAGGCCTCCCCCGAGAGGGCCCTACATGTCCCCCATTGCTCCGCGATCGGCCAGAAGACCTCGGGAGCGTGGATGGGGGCCTGGGCAAATCATGTGGCATCCGTGAACCAGGTGCGTTTGGGGTGCAGCGGGGAGGAGAGGAGGAGGCGGAGGCGGAGGAGGCGGAGGCGGAGGAGGCGGAGGCGGAGGAGGACTGGAGCTGAGTGGAGTGGAAGCGGAGCGGCGCGACGAGTTCAAGCGGCAGCGCTTGGGCAATGAGCGCCAGCGCGCGGCGCAGGGCCCCGCCGTCGCCCCCGCGGCGGGGCCCGCGGCCCGCGGCGGCGGGCGGAGGCGCGAGGCCAGGGGAGCTCTTGCGATCTTGGCAGGCGGGTGGCTGACGCCACAGGGGAGGGCGCCGCCCCAGATATGCCCCGCAAGACTTCGGGGACGTCGCTGGGCCTTCAAAGAAATTTCGGGGCCGGACCTCGGCATCGAGAGGGGCTGGGCCGGCCTGGGGAAAGTGGAGGAAGGAGCGGGTGCAGTCGGAACGCATTCAGAAGATCAGAACGCATAGAGGCTGGCCGGCGCGCCCGGCGACTTTCAGTCCCCCTTCGTCGGGGAAGCGCGCAGGCGGTGTTGCGGCGGCTGCAGCCGCCGACGGGGTTGGCTGCTGCGCGCCTCGCAGCGGCCGCGGCGGTGGCCGCGGCTGGCGCCTCGTGAATCGCCGCCAGCGCCGCCTTGCGAGCCCCTTCCCCCCCTTCGCCCTGAGGGCGAGCGGGGGGCCCTACCGGGGGTCGGGATATGGCTGATGCCCATGATTTATGTCGCCCCAGTATGTCAAAAGTGTGTAACCAAAGGGCAGCGGAAGTACGAGCGTGAGACATGGGAAAAATAGAAGTATGAGAAATGTTCAGCCAAGCTTGAACTTCATCGCCGGATTTGATCAACTTGCTTCCCGCGTGCTCAACCGTTTTCGCTGTTCTTCCAAATTCGGGCGAACGTTTTCCAATCACACACTGTTTCGACCATCCAATTCCAGGCGAGCTGTTTTTGATTTTCTCAAACTTCTCACACTTCCTAATCTGGACAAGCTCCTAAGTCGAGGGGGCTTTTTGTTCCCCCATCAAGCTCTGTTGAATGTGCTTCCCAACTTTGTTCGATCGTTCCAGCTTCGAGATCCGGGCTGCTTTTTTCCACACTTTTCTACTCGTTCCCAAATTTCCAGATCGGGCGGACTTTCGCATTTTTTTTCAGCAGATCCGGGCGGTTTTGTCCGCAAGCATTTTTTGTACAGGTTCCAGATCCAGGAACATGTTTGCCAAACTGCCACGTCCGTCTGCTCAAAGTCACGCTCATTGTTTGCCTGTTTTGCGATGTCACAGGCCCCTCATACCGAAGGCAAAGTTTGCACAACACCAGGGTTTCAACAGTTTGCGTGTTGTGGGGCGACATGCCCTAACGACAACGAGGCACAGTCCCCTCCCACGGTCGTCGCCGCCCTCCCGGTCCTGCTCTCCCCCCGCCAGCAATTGCCGCGCTGCTCCCGGCATGCCCGCGCATGCCGCACCCCCGCCGCCGCCAGCAGCAGCTCCCGACGCGCCCGCGCCCTGCCGCGCCCGCGCCCGCCGCGACGACCGCTCCTCGTGACCGCCCCTGGCGACCGCCCCCCGCTCAGGAGCGAAAGGAGGACGTACACGTACATGAATCCACGCTGGTTTCGAGAGTTCGCATTGCGCGAATGTTCGTATCACGCGGCCGGTCTCGCGGGTCGAGGGGCCGTGTTCATGTACATAGCTGGGCGCGTACGTCCTTCGTGGGCTCCCTACCCGACCTGGCCCCCCACCATTGTTGCCTGCTGCTGCTGCTGCTGCTCCCCCCGCTCGTCTTCTCGCCCCCATCCGTGCGTCCTGCCGGGCGCGGGCACTCAGGATACACTGAAGGGGGTCACAGTTTTGCTGCTGCGTGCCCTAGCGTCGGATTGCTGTGCCGCTTTGTGCGCGGTGCCGCTTTTCGTTCCTGGTTGTTGCGCGGTGCCGCTTTTCGTTCCTCCCGTTCCTGTCTGCACTGCGTCGTGACCTTGCACGCGGCCGCCGCCCTGGCAGCGCGAACTCGGCCAGGAGCGATCGTCGCATTTCTGTTTCACCGTCTGTCTGGGTCAGGGGTTGTGGCCCCTCAGGCCGGAGGGCACCAGATAGATTCCTGGCGGATATATTTGTCTGGGGCCCCACGCGCGATTCCGCGTCCGTCTCATGGTCGCCGCAGCGGCCCAGTGGCGTTCCGCAACAGGCAGGGGCCCCGTGCCCCCGCGCAGCTGCCGATACCGCTGCCCTTTTTCCTTCCTCCCTCCCCTTGCCCTCCTCCTTCGCTCGGGCAGCGCACAGGTCTATCCTGCCGCGGACCGAGCTGCGCGCCGAGACCAGGGCGGCGCCTCGGCCGTCGTGTTTTGGTTCGGGGGCCAGCACATTGTCGTTGCGTGCTGCTGGTCTTGGAGGGTGCCATGTGGCGCCCACGAGTGGTCACATCGTGGAAGCACCGCTCTGTCACAGAACCTCGTGGCGCTGCCCTCTTCCTTTCTTTCTCCTGCCCTCTTCCTCGTATCCCTCTCTGCGCTGCAGCGTCGTCGCCCTTGCAGGCGCCCGCCCGAAGAGGCGGCCAGGCGCGGCCATCAGAGCCCTGTCTTCCATGTGGTCCGGGTCACGGGATGTGGCTCGCAGGGCCGGAGGGGTCCCCGCGAAGGGACTCGCGCATGGCTGCCACACGGCATGGGGAATAGCTCGGAACAGGGAGGGATGATGATGATGATGATGATGATGATGATGATGATGATGATGATGATGATGATGATGATGATGATGATGATGATGATGATGATGATGATTATTAGTATTATTATTATTATGATGAAGATGATGATGAGGATGAGGTTGAGGATGAGGATGACGCTGATGCTGATATTGCTGATGGTATTGATGAGGATGCTGATGATGCTGATGATGCTGCTGATGATGTTGATGCTGCTGCTGATAATGCTGATGACGGTGATGATAATGGTGATGATGTTGATGATGCTGCTGATGTTGATGATGCTGCTGCTGATGATGCTGTTGTTGATGATGATGATGATGCTGATGATGATAATGATGACGGTGACGATGATGGTGATGCTGCTGATGATACTGATGATGACGATGATGCTACTGATGCTGCTTCTGCTGATGCTGCTGCTGATGATGATGATCCTGATGATGATTAGTGATGATGATGCTGCCGATGATGCTGATGCTGATGCTGATGATGATGAACCTGATACTGATGAGGATGATGATGAGGAACATGATGATGATGAAGGATGGTGCTGATGCTGATGATGCTGATGATGCTGATGATGATTGTTGATGATGATGATGATGATGATGATGATGATGATGATGCTGATGTTGCTGATGATGATGATGCTGATGCTGATGCTGATGCTGATGCTGATGCTGATGCTGCTGATGATGATGACGCTGATGCTGCTGATGATGATGATGCTGATGATGATGATGGTGATGATGGTGATGGTGATGGTGATGGTGATGGTGATGGTGATGGTGATGGTGATGGTGATGGTGATGGTGATGGTGATGGTGATGGTGATGGTGATGGTGATGAGGATGAGGATGAGGATGAGGATGAAGATGATGATGAAGATGAGTGATACATTGAAGAGACCAGAGAAAACAATGGGGATAAGCCGTCCCTTGTCCCCTCCTCTCCTCTTTTCCGCATCCTCCCACCCCTTTTCCTCGCCTTCCCTCCTGCTCCTTTCCCTTCGTGTTCCCTTCTCCCGCATCCCCTCATCCTATTGCTTTCCTCCCCATTCCACCCCGTTTCCCTTCCCCTCGCATCCTCCCCCTGCTCCTCCCCCCCAGGCCCGTCCTCCTGCTCTACCCGCCCTCCTGTCTCCGCACGCCCGTACTTCTCCCCCCCTCCGATTCCCCCTCCCGCTTCTCGATGAGCCCCCTCGTTTCTCTCCGGGGCCTCCTTGGCGATGGGCTCGAACGGCTCCATGACCGTCGGGACCGTTGGAGCTCGGCTTCGGGCCGCTCGCTCATCTCCTCTCCCCTCTCCCCATCAACCCCTCTCGCCTCACCCCCCGGCACTTCTCCTCCTCCTTCTCCTCCTCCTCCTCCTCCTCCTTCCCGATCCTCCTCCTCCTCCTCCTCCTCCTCCTCCTCCTCCTCCTCCTCCTCCTCCTCCGCCTCTCTCACCTCACCTTCCGCGTCCGCGCTTCTCCCTGCTCCCCTCCGCCCGCCAGATTTCCCCCGTCGCTGTCCTGCGCGGAGAAGGAGAGGAGGTCCTGTGGGAAGAGGCCCCCGCGGGCCCCTCCCTGGGGTAGGCTGGGCGCGCGTGGGAGCGCGGCGCGGGAGGGGCAGCGCCGGTGGGGCGGGAGCCTGGGTAGGAAGAAAGGTTCTGAAGTGCAGTGACATACAGTGTGGGCGCGCATCAAGAGACCGTGTACATTTCGTCAGGGCATCTCGTTTTTCCTCGCTCCGCGTGTTGCGCGGCGACTTCCCGCGGCCGCTGAAGGAGCTGCTGCGTTCATTTTGCTCCAGGTTTCCCTCCGGTGCACTTCGCGCGCGGTTTTCAGGGTTGAATTTCTTGCGAGGATTTCTTGCGGCCGCGCCCGCACCGTATCTTCCTTTTTTTTTTTTTGTTTTTTTTTTCTCTCTCTCTCTCTCTCTTTTTCTGTCCTTCCCTCTCTCCCTCCCTCTCTCCCTCCCTCTCTCCCTTCCCCCCGTTGT